AGTCAGCTTTGACAACGGTCTAATAAGATTGGCAGAATATATAAAATTTAATAATCGCTCAAATTTCGAACGAAAGAAACAAGGGAGATAATTCTGTCTAGACATTAGCGTGTGAGGTTCGAAATTCGTGATACATTTTTGTTCGTTATAGCTAAGTTGATTTGTTTTCTTGTTTTTTTTTTTACTTTACTTTTTTGGCCTTTCATGAACTTTTTCATGCGAATGGATGACTTCGTGCTTTACTACAAACAGAATAATAGATTCATTGTAAAAAAGAAAAAACAACAACTTAAATGGTAACAAAATAAGCAATGAAAAAAAAAATCCAGAAAAACAAAAATAGAAAAATCACCAGCTAAAGAACTGTCACATCTATTTAGAGGACAAAGTTCAATTTTCTATTTTATACTTTATTTCTATGTGTTTATGATGTTTTTTTTTTCTTTTTGTCTGCGATTCTTTGTCGTTTGTTTGTTTTTTGATGACCTATTGTGTCTCTTTGGTTCTTGCAGAATGTAATGTGACGTTTTTTTTTTATATAGAAGGAAAGAATGAATGCAAAAAGGACAAAGAAACCAAAACAGTTTCAAATGGAACAAACGTAATCAAATGAAGTTGTTACAGTCAGGCAGTGATGTACAAATCACCAACAAATCATTTCCTATCGATTATTGATGTGTATGTAGCCGAGATAACTTTATCATTTACTCATAAAAAACATTCATATACACACACACACATATGTATACAAACACTATACACACACATATATATATATATATATATATATATATATATATATATATATATATATATATATATATATATATATACCCATAAAAAACAAAAGGAAAACTTATCCTAGCAGACGTGTTTCGTTCTCTGATGGCTGTATCAAATCCAGATTTCAGATAGAACTAAAAATACAGGGTGTTTCAAAAAATTTGATGTCCTTTGAGATGTAAATATCACAGAAAGTACATGATTAAGGCAAATGAAATTAAAAAGTATTAATGTTGAAGATCATAAGATTTATTCTTCCAAATCTGAATGAGAAATTCAAAAGCATGTGGATTATGTGAACGATTTCACAAATGTTCAATATGCGAACCGCCTGAGACACGGCATTTTTATACCTGTAAAGAAAAAGATTAAAGATTAAAGAACATGAAAATACAAATAAGAAAAGCACAAAAACATAAAGACATAAAAACATAAAACAAACATTAAACATAAAGATGCTATTAAAATTTGAAGTCATTTGAAGGAGATCTAACAAAGTTATTAGATTGCGAAATGATATCAAATTTTTTGAAACACCCTGTATATCTCCATAAAAGGACAATATAAATAGACATAAAAGAGAACTTACCTTAGCCGGCGAGTTACGTCCTCTGATGGACGTTATCAAGAAACATCGAAGGATTTTATTTTGCGACAAGTATCTAGAAACATAAAGTAAAAAAAAAACAATTGTCTGATGAATATTTTTTGAGAGTTTCTTAAATTTAATAATTTTGTGAAATTAAAAGCATTTTTATTTTATTTCTGAATACTTGTCGGAAATTAAAATTGTTACGTTTTTCTTAATAACGTCCATCAGAAGACGAAGCTCTTCGGCTAAGATAAGTTTGATTTTTGTCTTTACTCATTATTATTTATACCGGAAATCTTTACACACACGCGCGCACGCACACATACATACACAAACACATGCCTATATATATATATATATATATATGTATGCCTGTGTTTGTGCATGTAAAAATGAAGATATAACTTTACAAAATCTTTACACATACATACACACCAACACAGACACACACACACACACACACATATGTGTGTGTGTGTGAGTGTGTGTGTTTATGTGAGTGTGTGTATGTAAAATTCAGATATAAGTAAACATGTATATATGTAAAAGGACAATACGAATGAAGACAAAACGAAAACTTATCTTGACCGATCCGTTTCGTTCTTTGGTAGACTTTATACATCAGATGACGAAACGTCTCGGCTAAGATAATCTTCCCTTTTGTCTTTATTCACACACACAAACACACACGCAGGCATCATCACACACACAAAAACACACACACATATATATATATTAATACATACGTTTATACCTACGTTTGTAGTGCAACGTAGGTGTATGTGTATTTATTAATAGATACTACATAGCTCTGCTTGACTACATTGAGCACTGTTTTGTTTACACCGTAAATTAAATCAAGTAAATATTTATTTGCTTATCTGTATATGCACGCTTTCGCACGCATATACAGTGGCTAATATCTTGATCTTTTGTTTATATCCACACACACACACACACACACACACACATATATATATATATATATATATATATATATATATATATATATATTAGAATAAATCCTAAGGAGCCAGGTTAACCTACCTAGGTTTCACCTAAAATGATCTTTAGGGCAAACTGGCCAGTTCACCCTGAAAATCCGTTTAGGTGAAACCTAGGTAGGTTTGCCTTGTTCCTTAGTATTTATTCTAGTTTATCGCTCTGCTTAGTGTATTGAGCACTCTACGTTTTAGTCTTTCTACTCGTTTGTTTTTTTTTTTCTTTAGACTAAAGACTTTAAGCACTTGGCCATTTGTTTCGCCTTGTTCTGATCTTTTTAGGTCTTTCTTCTTTTATTTCCAATTTTTTCCTCGGGTACCGATTTGTCCTGACATATCTGCAAATTGAGCTATCCGAGGTTTTACAAACGAGTACTACTACTAGTAATATATATACACACACACACACACACACACACACACACACACACACACAAAAGATTGTCCCAGGATAACTAGGGTGAAAGATCCACGAATTTAAATAAGCAATTTTAGGGAAATAGATGATAAAATGGTGAAAATGTCCCACGTCCTTTTCTCATACATTTAACCACCATTAACCTGATATTTATAAACTTTATATATAATATATTGCACTAAAAATAATTATAAACAGAAAATAGAACTTCAATTGAACAAAACGAAAGTATTACACGGCGATCATAATATATCTTATCATAATTTGAACTTAAAGAATGCAATTTTAATTAAAAGTGAACGTAAATTGTTATGGTGAAAATTCTACGGTAAATCTACGGCCAGAATCATGCAATAGATGTACGTTCATTACAAAATAACTACGTTGAGAATAAAAGTAATAAAAACCTGAATGCAACTGGCCAATTTAAACACCAAAATTCATCGGTCATCAAATTTCAAATTTGAAAATGAACGTCTTGAACGTTTTGATGTGGACTGTAACTACAGTTTATTATATTTCTCCATCTACATTCTGTATTTTATATATAGAATTGATTTTATCAAAGAAACCGTTATTAGATCACTAAGATTTTCACACTGTTACCTAATATATATATATATATATATATATATATATATATATATATATATATATATGAAGAAATATTGTCTTAAGATGTGCTATATTTATGGGATAAAGCGCCCAATATCAGAGATAGAGCGTGTAAATATAAAGAGAATATAGAAGTCAACGCTTAAAGGCGACAGTCTGTTTCATGCTAGATGCAATCGTCAGGCCACCTGCTGTCACCTCTAAGTGTTGACTTCTATGTTCACTTATATATATATATATATATATATATATATATATATATATATATATAATATTTGTATTTTGGCAGTAATCCTTCTTTTAAGCATATTTCAAGCATATTTCATTAAATACGACAGACAAGGTGCTTTGATTTAATTTTTTTATACAATTTCTAATGTGATTTAATAACTTTGTTCTTTTCAGATGATAAATCATATAAAAACTGTCCAAATGTTATTTTTTTCCGAGCTCTTTCGGCTATACATTTAACCATTTTCGAGGATTAAATATTTTAACTGCTAATTTCGTCTCCGTTACTGGAGATTAAATTTATCACTTAATTTTAAATAAGTTCTAAAACATTTGCATTTTATCCATTACTGTATTTTTCTTTAAATTTTTAGTTATTCTCGATGTAGAACACTCATGCTGTCTCGCCAAATTCATTACTCGTACATTTTCCTCATAACTTTTTATTATTATTATTATTCTAATTATTATTATTATTATTATTATTATTATTATTTTTATTATTATTTCCCGCCTTAGCTCATATGAAATCATAAGTTTCGGATTTTCACTACTGCTCTTTACATTTACTTTTTTCGGATCCATGGTATCACTAAAGGAAATTTTCGAAATAACGGTAAAAATAAAAACACACACACACACACACAACGCAACAAAAATCCTTTCAGAATGATTTGAACAAATTTGCTGCGAGTTTCAAATACTTTTAGTTGAATGGTTCCCGCTGTGACAATTAGTGGATGGTTAACTGAAACTTGCTCGTATCACAAATTTTAGTTCGTATCTCAAGGCAAAAATCGGCCGAACTCCAGCTCGTATCTCAAAACATAGTATGTCAGTACACTAGTATCTCAAGGCATTATATATATATATATATATATATATATATATATATATATATATATATATATATATATATATATCCAAGAATAGGATTGGTGTATACGGAATAAATTCCAATAAGCAAAAAAAAATACTATTCTTAAAAGAGTGTTCAATAGAGAATAGAGCAAATATAATTTATTCGAAAATTATAGCGTAAATATGTTATAGAATCACAACAAAAATATTTTGTTTCAACACTTCAGGTGTCTTTTTTAACTGATGGTGTTGAATGCAGAATAAAAGACTTTTTTATTCTCTTTATTCTACATTCAATACATCACTTGATGAGACACTAGAAGTGTTGAAACAAAATGGCTATTTTGTAGTGATTTTATAACATATTTATGCTATAATTTTCGAATAATTTATATATATACATATATATATATATATATATATATATATATATATATATATATATATATATATATATTACAATAAACCCAATATTTATTGGCTACACGTGTTGCTATTCGCTGAAATGAAACACCAGTTCTAGTACGATCACCGAAGTGAAGCAACGTCGCATCCGTCCAGTACCTAGATAGGTGACTGTTTAGGAATATCATGTGCTGTAAGCTTGGGTGTGCGGGTGGTGTCATGTATAACGGCTTGGAATTGGAACTTGGAGATCTATGTTTTATTTCCAGTCAAGTTTGGTCTATTTACTTATGGGCAAATACCCTTAAAATTTATGAATTCACACCTTCATCGGCGGCTATGTGTTAATCAGTCGAAGTTGCATCAGTAAATCATTATTATCTAAAAAAAAAACTCTTACATTCTAAAAATATTTTCAGAATTTCAATTACGTACAAATGGTTCATAACCTATAAAATAAATTAATTTGGCCGTTAACACATTTTCTTATAAAAATCTAATCAATATCTACCGGCCTAGCGATCCAAAGTCTTATTGAAATTATTCCTCTCGAAAGTAATCCAACCTGTATTCCCTTTTTAATATGAGAAACTTTAAAATCAAGTAAGCTTTATAATTATGTATACGTTCTTTCTTTCTATATCAGAATCCTAACAACGTAATTTGTAAGCGCGAAATTTCTTTAATCCGACATTATTTCTTTATTACGGCAAATGTTAAGGTTAGATAAAAGCTCCCGAGTAGTGATGTGTATTTCTTAAAAAAAGATAATCGATTGTTGCTTTGCTGTGATGGCTTCTCGTAGCTTAATGTTAAAGGACATTATGCCTGAAAGAAGTTTGCTTTTAGCAAGAATTATTTTCGATAGGGAATATTAATTCTAATTAAAAAATAAGTCGAAGCAAAAAAAAATTACGTCTCTGGGAAATAACGTAAGAATAAATATAAACTCTCGAAGCAATTTTTTGTCTTCTTCTTACACAAAAAAATATTCAGTTCAAACTAATTAAATTAAAATTAATCATGTAAAACGCTTTTATTCTTGGAGTTTGGAAGAGTAAGAAAATGTCAAATGAAAAGAACTGCACAATAGAATAGAATAGAAACATAACTTTCAACAAATAGAATGGGACAGGCTAAAAATATATGTTAAGTTGAACAGAATAGAATACAATATACGCTAAGATGAATATAAGAGAATATAACAGAAGTAGACGTTAAATTGAATAGAATAGAATATACATTCAACTGAACAGAATAGAATAGAAATATACATTCAACTGAATAGAATAGAATAGAAATATACATTAAACTGAACAGAATAGAATAGAAATATACATTCAACTGAATAGAATAGAATAGAAATATACATTAAACTGAACAGAATAGAATAGAAATATAAATTAAACTGAACAGAATAGAATAGAAATATACATTAAACTGAACAGAATAGAATAGAATATACATTCAACTGAACAGAATAGAATAGAAATATACATTCAACTGAACAGAATAGAATAGAATATACATTCAACTGAACAGAATAGAATAGAAATATACATTCAACTGAACAGAATAGAATAAAAATAAACATTAAACTGAACAGAATAGAATAGAAATATACATTCAACTGAACAGAATAGAATAGAAATATACATTCAACTGAACAGAATAGAATAGAAATATACATTCAACTGAACAGAATAGAATAGAAATATACATTCAACTGAACAGAATAGAATAGAAATATACATTCAACTGAACAGAATAGAATAAAAATAAACATTAAACTGAACAGAATAGAATAGAAATATACATTCAACTGAACAGAATAGAATAGAATATACATTAAACTGAACAGAATAGAATAGAAATATACATTCAACTGAATAGAATAGAATAAAAATAAACATTAAACTGACCAGAATAGAATAGATCAGAACAGAATAGAAAAGAAATATACGTTGTTGAATAGTAAACAATAGAACAAAACAATATAAATATACGTTCAGTTGAATAGAATAAAATAGAATGGAACAGAATAGAAATGCACGCTAAGTTTAATATAAAGGAATATAAAAGAAGTATTTGTCAAATTGAATAGAATAGAGCAGAATCGAACTATATGTTCAGTTGAATAGAACAGAATAGAAATATACACTAAATTGAATAGAATATAGTAGAACAGAATAGAAATATACGTGCAGTTGAATGGAATATAATAGAATAGAAATATAATTTCAGTTATATATAATAAAATTTTAAAAGAATAGAATAGAAATAGAAGTTTAAAAGCCCGAATTATTCATATAACATCCACTGAACTGGTTTCTGTTTGAAAGAAGTAGTCGCCTATATTTTTTATTCAATTTAATTAATTTTTTCCGAATAGATATCTGAGTCATGGGAAAGGCAGGAAAGGTAATTTCTGTCATTTTTGAAAATGTTCAGATTAACATGGTGAGGGTAGTTGAGAATCTAGGAACTAGAACAATGAAACTGTTGATAAACATCAAAAAGAGGGAACTAAAACTTTCGTGATTCATGATTAAGAAAGGAGGTTTGGAGAGTGGGACAATCATGAAACAAGCGAAACAGACAACGATTGACTCTATTGGACATAACTGACAGGAAAATATGGGATAGCAGAATTGACCACTTCATAAACGACAAAAACATAAAAAGAAAGAGAGAGAGGGGAGATGTCTTTGCGCGAGGGAGGAAATGGAGAAATAGAACTAGATAGAACATAGAATGTTATAGAACAAGAATAAATCGTAGATAGATAGATAGATAGATAGATAGATAGATAGATAGTATATAATACGAGTGGCAAAGAGATAGAGAGAGAAAAAGAGACAGAATGTTAGAATTTTAGAATGATAGAATGTTACACAACTAAAATAAATCATAGATAGATAGATAGATAGATAGATAGATAGATAGATAGATAGATAGATAGATAGATAGATAGATAGATATCATCAGTCTTGAGATAGATAGATAGATAGATAGATAGATATCATCAGTCTTGAGATAGATAGATAGATAGATAGATAGATAGATAGATAGATATCATCAGTCTTGAGATAGATAGATAGATAGATAGATAGATAGATAGATAGATAGATAGATAGATAGATATCATCAGTCTTGAGAGATAGATCTTAGAGATAGATAGATAGATAGATAGATAGATAGATAGATGAGATAGATAGATAGATAGATAGATAGATAGATAGATATCATCAGTCTTGAGATAGATAGATAGATAGATAGATAGATAGATAGATAGATAGATAGATAGATATCATCAGTCTTGAGATAGATAGATAGATAGATAGATAGATAGATAGATAGATAGATAGATAGATATGAGCATTTTTGAGATATATATGAACAGTTTCGAGATTAGAATGATAGAATGTTACACAACAAAAATAAATCGTAGATAGATAGATAGATAGATAGATAGATAGATAGATAGATAGATTAACGGTGTATAAATACAATACAAGGGAGGAAAGAGAAAGGAAAGAGGGAGTGAGAGAGAAAGAAATAAAACGAGAGAACTACAGTAATAAACAGATAGACTGAGAGATCCATACGAAAAGATTTAGTTAGCCGACTCGAAAGATACATTCTTTTCCAATTCCATTCAATTAAACCCTTTCTCTAATCCACTTTGCCACGCAATGCTTCTTTCTTATCTATTAAAAGCGGCTAATTTCCTCTTATCTCCTCGTCATTATTCCGCAAGCTGTTTGGATGCAAATAATCCAGGGCTAAAAAAAAAAAAAAAAAAAAAAAGATGAAGAAAAAAATCAAACAAATAAAAAGAAAGAAATATAAGAAAAACAAAAGAAAAACACACGTAAATCATGTGACTCCCATCAAGACTCTTTAAAATGTGCTTGCGTGTCTGAACATGTGAGAAGTCTTTTTACACTTGATTCTTGTTTTTTTGTTATTTCATTTCACATAACCTGACTGTTTTGTAAGTAATAAATAAAAGCAGTCGGTTAGGAGGTGTGAAGCAGAAAAAAAATAGTGTTGTGGAGGGGGGGGCGGCTGTTTGGATTATTGACTTGGGCGGGGGCGAAATACTGGGGTAAGAAGAGTGTGAGATTTATAGAGAGTGGATGAAAACAGTTTCACTTAATGTTGGGAATGACTTGCAAAACGAAAATGACATAAGATCAAAAACAAAAATAAATGAATGAGACAGAAAAGGATCCGTAAGAGATGGAGACATGTAGGGAGGATATAATGGAAGAAGAAAAAAGAAAGGGGAAGAAGGTGAGGAAAAGACTGGAATGTTGAAAGGGATAAAGGGGAGATTGCTGGTGGGAGGGAATAAGGGAAATGGTTGCGGTTATAAAGAGAGAATGAAGAAGAAGCAAAAGAAGTGTGGGGGGGAAGAAGATGAAGAAGCAGAGAGAGGATAGAGAAACCATAGAGGAAAGAAGAAAGATGTCGAATTGATTGGTATGATGAAGAAAAAGAAAGGCAAAAGAAGAAAACGGAGAGAATAGAAAGTGAATGAAGAAAGGTGAAGAAGAAGAAGAAGAAGAAGAAGAAGAAGAAGAAGAAGAAGACGAAGAAGAAGAAGAAGAAGAGAAAAGTTGAGGATGAAGAAGAGGAAAAAGTAAAAGATAGAGGAGATGATAAAGAAAAAAGAAGAGATAATGATGATAATGATGATGATTATCATCATCATCATCATCATCATCATCATTATATTAGGTTGGTGCAAAAATAATGACGTAATAATGTCGTTTTTGACGTAATTTTAACGTAAAAAAAAACGACATTATCACGTCATTATTTTGCACCAACCTAATAAAATGTACCGGTAATATTTTTTACATAATAATAATAATAGTACAACAGGAAGAAACAAAGAAAAAATTGGGTAAAAGATTGCATCAGTCATACGCAGTTATTGGGTTGGTGCATAATTATCAGGCGTTTTGTAGGCAAGTTATTTGTTAATAAAAATGTCTGTTTTGTTTACATCTTTTTAATAAAAAATATTATTTTATTTTCAGGTTATAAAAATGCGGCTCGATAATCATACGCTCTAGAATAATCATTTAAAAATTTTATTGTTGTATTGATATGTTTCCCGTTTTTCATAATAAATATTATTTAAAAACGCCTGATAATTATGCACCAACCCAAGATTAATTACGAAA